AGCTAACTGCGATATAGCGCGTCTTATCCTCCACTGCCATGCAAGTTACGAACGTTGCAGAGGACAGGGTTGGCCCCGAAAGACACGACGTCCACTAACAGTAGCTATGTACGACATAGCATTTGGAAACTGTCAGGGCGGATATAATTTGATGTACTCATGAGTAGGGGATTTTGATGTAATTAAGTGAGGTTCATCGCAGCCAGTTTCCAAATCAGATAGTCGTCCACATGCCCGGAAAAGCACTAGACTGCAGTTTCAGCCTGTTGGGCATCATCAGTAGTGCGCATCCATCGGATCCATCAGGATTCGAACCAATGACCACCAGCGGCTTGAACCGCCAGTCAGCAGCTTATGCCACTGGGCCACGGGGGACAGCTTCGGACCGTCATGATTTACAAGCTAACTGCGATATAGCGCGTCTTATCCTCCACTGCCATGCAAGTTACGAACGTTGCAGAGGACAGGGTTGGCCCCGAAAGACACGACGTCCACTAACAGTAGCTATGTACGACATAGCATTTGGAAACTGTCAGGGCGGATATAATTTGATGTACTCATGAGTAGGGGATTTTGATGTAATTAAGTGAGGTTCATCGCAGCCAGTTTCCAAATCAGATAGTCGTCCACATGCCCGGAAAAGCACTAGACTGCAGTTTCAGCCTGTTGGGCATCATCAGTAGTGCGCATCCATCGGATCCATCAGGATTCGAACCAATGACCACCAGCGGCTTGAACCGCCAGTCAGCAGCTTATGCCACTGGGCCACGGGGGACAGCTTCGGACCGTCATGATTTACAAGCTAACTGCGATATAGCGCGTCTTATCCTCCACTGCCATGCAAGTTACGAACGTTGCAGAGGACAGGGTTGGCCCCGAAAGACACGACGTCCACTAACAGTAGCTATGTACGACATAGCATTTAGAAACTGTCAGGGTGGATATATTTTAATGTATCTGTATTTTAATGTATCTGATTTGGAAGCTGGCTGGGAAAAACCGCAATTAACTACAGCAAAATCCCCTACTCATGAGTACATCAAAATATAGCCGCCTTAACAGTTTCTAAATGCTATGTCGTACATAGCTACTGTTAGTGGACGTCCTGTCTTTCGGAGCCAACCCTGTCCTTACAATCTTCGTAACTTGCATGGCAGTGGAGGATAAGACGCGCTATATCACAGCTCGCAAATTATGACAGTTCGAAGCCGTCCCCCGAGGCCCAGTGACATAAGCCGCTGACTTGCGGTTCAAGCCGCTGGTAGTCATGGGCTCGAATCCTGATGGATCCGATGGATGCGCACTACTGATGATGCCCAACAGGCTGAAACTGCGGTCTAGTGCTTTTTCGGGCATGTAGACGACTATTTGATTTGGAAGCTGGCTGCGAAGAAACTCAATTAATTTAAAGTGGATTTGAAGAAATACCTCGCTGAGCAAAACATTATATTTAGATTAATGATGTGGTGGGTTTTCGCCTGGCAAGCGTCCTCCCTATAAAAGGTCACATATGTCTGTTTAACAACACTGTGACATGGCCGGTGTGACACGCCACTAGATAAAATCACTACCGCTTGCCTCTCTCTGAGCGGCATTGTAATTCAAGGGTGTGTCGGGTCCCTGGTCCTTCAAGGACCGAAACGGGTATGAACATCTTGTTTGGTTACCGGCTCTCAACAGGTTGCGATACCCTCATATCGCCCCTGCTGCCTGGTAGGTTAGATCTTGGTTTAAAGGCTTGGAGCAGGGCGCCTAAGACAACCCTCTACTTCGTCCTGGGCAACCGAGTAGTATCACGCCCACTGACGAACCATGGGTGGACTACACTAATGCTGTCCCACTTGCTATGTCTATTGACTTTACTGTCTCCGCTGCTCAAGATCCGTTCACAGATCGTCCCACGTCCCGTTCCTCAACTGCACCTATATCTTTCCCGGTCACCGTCAACAGCAGCTCACTGGTCGCATCTGACAGAGTTCTGTGCCAAACGTTTGATGTTCCTTACTCGGTGGTCACAACTTCTGCACACTCAACCGAAGTCCAAGCTTTCCCTCGTCCTGGTTCTCCATTCGGCCTTGCAGCGTTCAATGTGCACACTCTGATGCAGATCGGACGACAAGCATGTGTGGCCCGCACGCTTGAGACACTCTAGGTGGACATCTGTTGCCTTTCCGAAACCAGGTTGCAAGACGTCTGTACCGTCATCAGAATGACATCTCCGGCAAACTCTGACGTCAAATACCACTTGCGCCTTTCCGGAGACCCAGAGGCCGCACGCCTAGCCAAGCTGATGTCGGGGTTGCACTAAGTGACAGGGCTGAGGTCGCTTTGCTTGACTGGATCCCAGTCAACAGTCGGCTATGTGCAGCCAGGCTACGAGGTCCATGTAAGGTAAGTAAGCGTCGAGTGCTTGGTTTGTCATCGCCTACGCACCTACAGACTGCAGCCCGGATGCAGTCAAGGACTGCTTTTATCAACAGCTACATGAGCTTCCAAGTTCCGTTAAAAAGTCTGACATTGTCATTTATGCTGGAGATTTTAACGCAAGAGTGGGCCGCATGCCAACAAGCGAGCAACATCTTGGGGGTAATCTTGGCTTCGGTAGCAGCCGATTAGACAATGGAGACAGACCACTGACTTTTAGTTCTGATCGTTACTTGTTTCTTACGATTACAAGTTTTCGTCATGCTGAAAAGATAGACTGCTACCTGGCATCCGCCTTCTCAAACATAAGAATGGTTCCAGCTTGACCACAGCAATAAGCTACAGATGACGCGGAAGCGTAACAGTGCCGACCGTACTGATCAACTTGTTTGGACTCCGATCACGCAATGGTTCACGCCAAAATTTTCATGCGTTTCGGAGGATCATTCAGGTGTACGCACTACCAACCGAATATCGAAAATCTGCAACAGTCTGCGACGTTAGCCCAGTGCCAGACTTCTCTGTCAACACTACTTGCTTCAACCTCTGACGATGGTCTCAATTCGCAATGGATGCGCATCAAAGACGCTTTAATTTCTGCCAATACTCTCAGTTGTGGAATTGTTTGTCATCAGTCGAAAAGCTTGTTCACCACTGCCTCCTAGTCGCTGATGGATAGACGCCGCTTGATCTCAGCTGACAGCAGCTGTAGTGAGGAACGCCGATCCCTGGATCGAGCGTTGCGTAGGAGCTTACAGAAGTACCGTGAGACCTGATGGTGTGAACAAGCTAGAAAGCTTGAACTTAATAATCTCACCCAGAAAACCGTTCCACTTCATCCGAGTCACAGAAGGCTTCCGATTAGGAGTAAACGAAACAATCTGCGAAGACGATGACTCCCTAATCACTAATCTTCAACGACAGTTAAAGCGATGGGCCGAACATTTTCGATCGCAGTTTTCCTGGCCGCCAGCTCCATCTGTTTCCCCCTGGGGCGCGCCCTGGTGATGAGTGGACTATCCCAACTGATCCTTGTTCTCCCAAGGTAATTTGGAGGGAACTGTGCTGCCTAAATCTTTATAAGGCACCCGGCCCTGATGGTCTACCTCATGCTCTATTTAAAGATGGGGGCTCTTCGCTGATTCGAGAATTCACCGCTTTGTTTTCAGAAGTCTGGGCATAAGTGGAGGTTCCATCCTCCTGGACTGGAAATAGTCAACTGATGTTCAGCAGGTTAGATCACCTACACAATTTGATGACATCAGGTGAACTGGTGTCACAAGCAGTTGCATTTAACCTCAATCCACCGCAACAGTCTAAGTCCATGTGCCAGTAGATTTTCAGTAACTCAGGTCTGGAGTGGTACGTGGTTCTCCGCTGTCTTGCATATATGGCTTGTGAGGACAAACAATAATTCAAATGGTATCAGAGATTGTAATTGATCCATAACAACTGGAGAGACCTTACTGAAATCGCGATTCTTCGGACAATAAACCTAATGTTTTCTTTCCGTTTTCAGTTGGAAAATATATCGTATATTACCGTGTATAAGCCGAGGAATTTTGGACAATTTCCCATGTACATGATGGGGAGGGGTCGCCTTATACAAAGGTTATGCGCAATTTAAAAATAACATATGCAACATCCACCCAGAAATTCACTGCACACCTATGCCCCTATCTTGCATTAGCACTACTCGCTATTGACAGACGGTATCCCAGGCGGGGATTTGAAGTGCCTATAGGTTGATACATTAGGTTTGTGTTGAAAATTCTCGGTATATTGCACATGTAGCTTTCACGACGGATGGCAATAACAGAAACATACTGATTATACGAAATCGTACACTACCACACAAAACAACATTGGAAAAGTCATGATAGAACAGCATGTGCCGGTAGATTTTAAAGGCTCCCATATGCAAACGCTGCACAATGGTGTTAAAATTACTAGAAATGCTTCGAAACTAGGATACGAGTCAGAATCTCCAAACAGTTTCTGGTACTGGTCGTCTGTCATTAGGAGGTCAGAGCGAATATCGTCATCTACAATTTTATTGCGCTCGTCATTGTCATATTCCTCAAAAATGGCATAGTCATCACATCCATCCAAAGCATTACTGACGCAGCAGTGTTTGAATGATCGTACGATAATTTCTGATGGAATATCCAGCCACACTTCTTCTATCCACTCTCCAATTGTACCAATGCCAACCTTTTTCACATTGCCACCCTTCGTCAACGCTAAATCAAACGATGCCATCCAGTGAATCCACCGCTTTCCTTTCCCCAAATTGTATTTAGCCAGTCTATAGTGTGACTCTGCTCCATGCATCCTTTCGCGTTAACGTGCACAAACACACCGCTTGGGAACCGCTCCTTTCGGCAGTGCCTTACGCCTAAAAATAAGGAAAGGTGATAGACGGGAACCATCCGCCATGCACTCTGAAACCACTGTGAACCGTGTCTACACATGTTTCGTAGTCTTTACAACAACTGTGTTAGCACCTTTCTGCTCCACCGTGCGATTTGAAGGCATAGCAAAGCACACGTGTCTTTCGTCCATAGTTCCTATTTGGGACGGTTCATAATTCCAGAGCTTTCTCAGCTAAATCACGAACCTTGGAAAAGATTCAACTTTACTGTCCAATTCCTTCATCAGTTGTTGGGCAAGTTTTGTGCGGGTCCCTGGACACATGTCGAATGGGTTCATCAAACTGCCCCATCCGGAGGAAGCAACAAAATTCACCGGTTTTGATGGCTGGAATTCCGGACTGTTTAACCTCGCGAGCGCTCTTATCCGAATGTTCGCACGGGTAACATTTAACCCGCTGTGCCGTGACTCCATAACCCACTGCACTAACCTTTCCTCCAGTGCAAGAAACATGGTTGTTACACCGCGTGCTGCTCTTCTGCCTAGAGGAATTAGTGACAATTCTGACCTTTTTCGTCATTTTCCCACTTGCATTTCATTCATCGTGAAATGGCGTGCAGCCATATAATTATTAGAGTGCTCCGCAAACGTGATAACTCAATTTAAAGTCAGCAGAATATACACATCGCTTCTGTCCAGACATCTTTTCACGTTTTCTCGGCTTTGGAAGATCGCACGAAATGTGGGTACATTTCCTCTCGGCTGAATCGTGTGACATCGCGTTAGCGATACTTTGGTTAGCGAATCACAGCGCTTATAAATTATGCTATGCTTGTCAATCTGATGCATTAAAAGTACAACGTCGTCGCACACTACTGATCGTGAACTTCCCTCTCACCCGCTGCTTCAGTGTGATTCAGATGCATGAGGCCCTCGACTATGCGAGGCGGTGTCTGATATACCCTTTCACCTTCCCTCATATTGTCGACTGTCTCACCTGTTTCGTGTAACTTGACATCCAAACAATACACTGTCCAGTGCGGTTTAAATCTTTGTTCTGACAGCTCTAAGTCCCGTTACTTGCGATCATAACACATTAGGTCGCCAGAATTGACCAATAATACAGCAGATTTCGCTTAAGCACACGCAAGTGAGAGCAGGCAAAATCGTGAGAAAGAATTTCCTTTCTCTTTTTGCTGATTTTATTGAGTGTCGGCTAATATATGGACTTACGAATTTGGACAAATCTGACGTTACAAAGTCATACAGTAGGTTTATATACGGATCGGCTTATACACGGTAATATGCAGTAGATGTTTTTCGATAAGATTCAAAGGCGTTTATTACCGAATAACCATAACCGGCAAGTAACGGAGGCAGACCTACGTAAGCGTTTGTATGAATATAATGAGGGTTCCCCAGCACCTTACCCAATAATACTCAATCGCGTTCATCCAGTAATGAGTGTGTGATACTAACATGAACTTACTGTGTCGTTCTACAATGATGTAACACACACACACACACACACACACACACAAGTAGCTACATACATGCCAAGTTCACACCCGAAGCCGATCTCTCCCCAATCCTAGTTTGGATAGTATCTTAGGTGAAACCCAGCTCTGTCCCTATTCGGGAGCAGTCTCTCGCGTCATCAAGAAATAAAAACCTCAGCTGGTAGTCCCCACGGCCCAGTGTTCGACGCCGGCTATCTCCATCCGATGGGCGCATACAAATGCGAAACTAGTCGTGGACTGTGCAGTGTGTTGCGAGCAGGCAACAACAACATTTGAAGACTCCAAACGTATTAAGCAATACTTAGCTCGGGTTCCTGGATGATGAGCACGCAGAAAACCCACTGCGTGAAAGAAAGTAGATACAGGTACCTGGGACAACCATTGTTTATAGGAATATAAATGACGGTACAATAGTTCGAACGGGTGAACGCATACTCACACATACGAGCCATCTTAAACGACAGTGAACATGGCGTAGTAGTCCCGCATAACATAGCTCACGTGTTCCTAGTTCGAAAAGCGCACATATACATAACATGTCACGGCGAATAGATTTCCGAAGCCCGCGAGGATCAGGTAATATAATGTAAGCGTAATAGCGGATTGTGAAATGCTTTATGCTCAGAGAAATTCAGCGTAAGTCAGTGTGTGTGTGTGTGTGTGTGTGTGTGTGTGAACTGAGACAGATACGGTCAGTACTCCGATCGATCTTGCTTACCTTCATCAAGTGTTCGAGAATGTTGATGTCGCCGTCATGGCGGACCACGGTTGTCAAAATTGCAGCCCGCAAATCACCGGGAATAGCGGCTTTGTCCCCACCAGAACGATACAGCTGGTATCGCCGCTTGGCTTCAGCGATCACGTCCGCATCACCAGCCTCTGCGCCGGCCGTGGTGACAAGTAGTGATCGTAGAAGGCGATCGTCATGTGAAAGAGATTCTTCCGATTTGAAGAAGCCTAGTATGAAGAAAAGATGAAGTTGCAAGCCAACGAATTGAGCAGAGCGTGAGAAAACGAGTATGTACAAAACATAACAAGGTACCTAAGTTATCCAACATCGGTCGAGTAAGCTTGCGCAAGAAAGTAAGATACACTGATAAGGAAGATCCGTCCTCATGAACCAGACGTCGGACGTAAGTACCAAGACCATCGATGAGTGCGCAGCGCCAGACAGCGTATGAGCGCTCATCTTTGAGAAACTCGGTTAAATGAACCAGCCAATCGGAAATGCTGAGGTAGCCCGCTTTGGTCTAAAACGGAGGGGGGAGAGGCAAAATACAATGAGAAATGAAACCAATGAAACCGCGCGGGATCTGAAATACGAGTAAACCGGGTGGAATACAAGGAGGTCACTGAAACACACCGCGATGCACCAACACCCACTGTGTCAACGAGACAGTCGCAGGTCGTTGATTTTTGATAAAAGGTCTCGGCGCACTCTTCATTAGAATAAGCAGACAATGTAGCATTAAAGGATTGTTCTCCTGTGGCGTAATCATGCAACGCAAGACAGAGCGCTGATAAGCGTTTGGGCTAAGGACCCAAAGGACTGAGAAGAATAGAACACATAAGCAAAGACAAAGGAACAAGCACATTAATGGCGAATCCAACAACACAACAGGTTTCGACAGATTACCTGAAGAATACAATGTCAGATAAACCATGCTTACAATCAAATGTGACGGGGTTGATTAAGTGTCTGAAGTGTGATTTTCGAGTGCGGTCACAGACCAGCAAAACAGGCGGAGTTTCGGTTTGGTGCAACATAAAAAATCCACAGAATAACATGATACCTGGCAACATACCAAAGCAAATCCATCGTTAACAAAACCAAATTTGGTGGATGCGGGGGCGTTCATCTTCTTAATGTGCATGGCGAGCCGATGCAACTGATCTTCAGCATAGCACACGTGATAAAATCCGGCTGCATCAGGGTTTAATTGCACCAAGCAACCGGAGAGGTCGGAAGTCGGCCAGGTCACCGGGATCTCGATCACTGCCTCTGATTCAGTCAGCACATGTTGGTGGATCACATGATGCTGACCTGATGTTGAGTAGCATGAGAACACAAGAGGAACAGACCAGAGCTGTTCTGCGCCTGGAGCTGAAACAAGGGAGAGAAGTGGAAGCTGCTCACTGTAACTTAATGGGCGGTCGCAAAATATGATGTCAATGCTGGCCAATGTTATGGCTGTGTTGACTCACGTTGGGGTGCGCGCGATGGCAACCGATATTGGGTTTGTTTAACCTGCACCATAAGTCGCCCGTTTTGAGCTTCCAAAGGCCGCACGAACACCACAGGAAACCCGGCAACCCGAGTCCAGGGTCGCATGATGGAAGCGATAGGTAGTCCGGATGCAGAGCCCAGAGAAGCCCACAGGTCTTCTGTGCGCGCGTTGCCATAAGCGTGCTTTTTCAGATAAGAGCAAAGCCCATCACGAAAAGCACGGTCACCCATGTAAGCGTGTAACATGTGGATTAGACTGGATCCCTTGCAGTAAGAAATCGAGTCAAAGATTTCATCAATTTCTTCGGGGTTATTCACTTCAACCTGGAAGTATAGACGGAAAGCACGAGAAATAAGACGATTGGCGGCCCAAAAAAACGACAACTAGACAGTATGTATCAAATCACAATAACGAGTCGATGGGAGGTTGAGTCTAGCTCGTTAGGATGTAAATGAAGAATGGATCCGATTAAGCGCATCCACTTACCAGTAGCTGTAACAATCAGTAACTGTGAAGCGATATGAGAAAACAAAGTTGAATGGAAAAATTGAAAAAGAAGAAGCGGGAACCATCGCGCGGTAGTACGACTAAGGAAAGATCTGCGGAGGATAAGATAGTAACCGGATTAAATATCACGGTATAAAAGATGGACAGCAAGGCACCAAATCTAAAGACGATTCACCGAAATATAATCGTTCACATAATAGGACTATGACCATTGGCTGAGGGACTAAATTAACCCCAAAATCCGGAGTAAGTGAATTGACACTTGCCAGCGCGTCAAAGACTACGTGCCGAACCACAAACGCACGTGACATTTGACGTCAAGGTGATCACGACAGTAACGCGTGTCGAGGCCAGTAAGCCGATAGTCGATGGGCCGGATACGCAGACGATAAATAAACACAACGGGGTTCGCATTGGAACGGTGCGCGCTTTCCAAATTGTCGATGACGATTAGCATCCGCAGACCAACGCACCCTGAATGCACGCGCGACGGACATGTGAAAATGAAAACCATGTGTTTTGTCAGTGGAGAAAGTAAAGTAGTTTGGAACGGATACATAATCGGTGGTGAAAAGGAATAGAGAATTGTGTGGTTCCGACTGACCAGATACTTCAGAAAAGTCACCAAAGTGTTGGCACTTCAGTAGTTAACAATGGTGGTTCACTGACATAAAAATAAAACTACCCTAAAATGAATAATAAGATAGAACGGGAAATCGCGTTCACAATCGAAACGCTTTGCAAAAACATCTCAGCGACAATGCAGTAAGGAAAAGTTACCGATCGTGCGAGCACAAAGAGGCCCAGCTTGCTTCTATTGCCGCGTGACGCAATTAGCAATGCCCGCCGAAAACCCATATTTGCTTCAAACAAGCGGTCCAGTTGGGAGACGTCAAAAAACCCAAACGGATGCCAGCAGCGAGACATATCTATTTATGATAGTACTTAAGAGCGGGTGGGGATAACGGATGCCAAGCTAGAGAGTAAGAAAGCTAGCAACAGTTTGATAGCGATGAACGAACTCACAGCACACTACAAGGCATTGACCGCAACTCCTAAGTTACATTCCATGCAAGATATGGCAAGCAGTTGGTGAGCAAGTGTGGCAGGCACTCGATATGTGATGCAGTGGGAGGTGAAAATGGACACAGAGGATGCACAAAATAGCCAAAAAAACGAATAGCACAAAGCAGAAACAGCAGAAACAGTAGGGACAATGCAGCGTCTAAAACGTTTTCACATTGCTAGAGCAAATTTCGTGGAATTTGTTTCGGATTTCATACAACAACAGCAATGAGCTAAATAGTTTCCCTTAACACACAGTAAGAAACATGAAGTGCAAAAATGAACTGGGTTGCGTGGTGCCTCCTGCCCTTTCAGAGTCACGCACACCAAATTGAACAATCGTTAGAAGCTAGACAAACTCAGCCACCCGGTCCTCCAGGTTGGGGATTACAATGAAGGCGGATCATTACCCCTTCAAACAGATTCTGTTTAACCACTCAGGTTTCACCTCAGGTCTCCCGTATTACCTATCATTATTATTCGTTCCGTAGGTCACCGTGGTTGTACGGCAGCGAAGAATCATTTCAAGTGGATGATGTTCTGCTGTTAATGATGATGATCACTCTGTTTAGCCGACTACCAAACACCTGCTATCATGCCACCAGGTTTGTAAACTAAAGACCTTGGCTGAGAACCCTAATCGTTCGCTTAACTTGACCTAGACAACCTGACAGCACCCTGCTCATGTAATACAGTGAACCCTTCACTTCCGAAAAACAGGTTCCTGACGCTCTGGCCGTCAACGGCTCCCTTTGTGGTGCATCAAGTCGTGTAAATAGGGACGAGGATGCTACTACTAAGGAATTCCCCTCTCCTTATTCACACCAGCTGGCGCTGGTTCAACTCTGTCGTCCTCTTCCAACAGCACATTTATCCCTCCTCTGTTTTCAACCCGTCAACTCTTCGCCCTCACTCAACTTGCTCCATTAGTCGTTTGTCTTCTAGTTTCCACTCACTCACAATCGCTAAATGTCACGCCAGTTCAGCCGACAAGTGCATTTTCGACCAAGCAGAACACACCCGTTCGTATTTGGAGCCCTCATTCCTCGCTAATGCAAGCACGCCTCAACGTGGGCAGTTGGTTGCAAAACGGTCTACAGACAACGCTTATTCGAACCACAGTGACCACATCGATCCATATCTGCTAGTTATCGAAAACCCGTCTGCAACGCACGAGTTCTATGCTCACTCTATGTGACACTGACGATGCTCTCTCACTGCGCCTATCCGGAGATAGTGTCGATCAATCTGTTGTGGGCATCGCTCTGAGCTCCCGGCCGGAAGTTGCATGGGTAGATTGGATAACCATCCGTAGCCAGAGGTACGTTGTCTGACTGTCTGGCTTGTTCCAATTTTCGAAGTCACGCGAAGACAAACGGTGTCTGTTCGTCATCAATGCTTGCGTTCCCACAAATCGTAGTGCTGACTCCGTGAAAGAAGACTTCTATCCTCAACAAAATGTGCTACTTCGAAACAACGGGAACACTGATACTGTAGTGCTGGTTGGTTACCTGAACGCTCGAGTTGGAATATTGTCCAGTGATGAGTTGCACCTGAGTGGCCAACAAGATGTAGGCTCCCGTACTGATAACAGCGATTGGTTGCTACACCTGTGTGTAGAAGCTGGTCTATTTCTTGCGATCACTAACTTCTGACACAGCATCTAGCACAAGGCGCCCACTATCCTCGGACAAGTCATGAACGCTGATCGATCACATTGTGAACAGTTACCGCTGGAAGCATTGTGACCAAAACTGTCACTCGATTTGGAACACGAGCGTGGACTCTGAACACGCACTTGTATGTGCCGATCGGTGAGTTTGCTTCGGCGGATGCATGTGGCGACGCTGGCTTTAGATCTAATAGTGGTTGTTTCGACCACATATTTACTCTTTGCGAAGTGTTAGAATAGAAGCACAGCTACAGACGACCGAATATGGTTGTTTTCCTTAAATTGAATGAAACCTTCGAATCAGTTGATCATGCGAAATTGTGTTACTCTTTAGCCTCAAGGGAGTGCCTAGGAAACTCCTTTCCATTCCTGAGTTTCTCCACCGTGCCTCCTGAGGATGAGGAAGGAGCTACGGAAACCGGCCTCCTGAGTTATCCACGACAAGTAAGGATCGCCAGGGCTGTCCTATGACCCCTTTCCTCTTCACCTTTGTGATCGAAATAATCATGAATGATTCGGTTCATTCCGACTATTCCGGGGTGGAAGCTTTGCCAGATGATCAACTGACAAAGCTGGAGTATACGGATGAGATAGCACTTGTTGGATCTGACGCAGTGTCTACGCCAGCGGTTCCCAATCTGAAGGTTATTACCCCCAAAAGGGTAAAATGGCATTTCACGGGAGGTAAATATCAGTGTGAGGATTAGGTCATCAATCCATTGTAGAACAAGCTTGATAACAAAGTCAACTCTATCAAAATATGTCGCTAACTACATATGCAATTTGATTAGCCATCAGTGACCAGTCACTATAGTCATTGCAACTAGATTACCCCTCCAGCAACTCCCGAGGCGATCGTACTTCATTTGATTCAGGCAGTCGTCTGCCGTGTCAAATTATTGAGTCGATTGCAAACTAGTATTGGAGCATTGGTCAAACGACCAGGCATGCGATTGTTTACAAGTTAGAAGGGTCAAAATGGGCGATCAGTGTTCACGACGTGTCGATACAGATTGGCAGCGGAAAGCTATCATGCAGGAATCACTTCGAATGGAGGAATGCAGCACATGAAAAGTCACTGACATCCGTTCATATTTGTTCAGGAATCACACAAGAAAGGTTCATAAGAATGCTTGAATGGAGATAACAGCAGGCATTTGAAAGTGTACAGAAACACTGCGTTTGGGATCACAACCAAGGCAGAAACAGTAGAGGTGATGTCAGTGATCATTAGATGTTGGGTTGATCACATTCAAATACGGTTGTTTTTGACGAGAAACCATAACAGATGTCTCATTTAATTCAATGGTTTTGATATCAATAACAATGAGTTTATCTGCAAAGGTTTACTACAATGCCATCTACATTACATCGCGAATATATATATATATATATATATATATATATATATATATGAATAATTTCATATGTATCCTAGTCCAAACCCCAGCCATAAAGTACGCCAATAATATTGAATCCGTTATGCCTCGGCTGTCGAGCAGTGACCTTAGGAAAAGGGTCGCCCTATCTGCGGCAAACAGCGGGGTGAATAACTGCTGGCAACTGCTGGCGCCTCCCTGTTGTGTGGTTGGTTCACCCAGCCGCGTCAACAGAAATAACGCGCATCGGCTCTGCACACAAATACTCTATTCCCAAGTCTGAGGTAAAGTACAACAAGTGAGGGTTTTTATCTCTCTCGATCAAGTCATCGCTTGGCCTTCCCTCCTTCTCTTCCAACCGCACCCACAACGCGCAAACAATGCACCTCGCGGGAGTCAGTGTGCTCACATGCGCAACACATGGCCCAGCCATCGGAACCTGGTGCGTAATATGATGATGCTGAGCAGTTCACTCGCTCTTCCTGCACCAAATACGCGGCGCCGAACACACTCATTGCTCACGCGGTGTTCCCACCAGACATGAGCTAAGCTGCGAAGACAGCGATGATCGAATATGACAAGCCTCTTTATGTCTGTCGACCTGATGGGCTAAGTTTCACAACCATATAGGAGAGTTGAACGGACGGCTGCGTTATAAATTCTGCCCTTCAGGGCGAATGTCGCATCTGTGCCACAGGTG